GCGGTCTGCAAATACTACACATCACACAAGAAATCAACCGTATGAAGTTTAGTAAAAAGGATAGCGATTCAGGTGGGAATTAGATGAGATGGAGACAACGCATGAAAGAGCGAACCATCATGAGATTTTGGTTAAAATCAACGAGCTTGGCGATCTTTTTTTTCTAAGCCCTAAACCACAATCAGCATAAAAGAAATAAAGAACTGAGCACCCCCAATCACAGCGGCTTTCCCTAACTGTCAATAAGTTAACAAGCACAACATATTTTTCTACTACGAGTCCCTTGAGATTGTGAAAATCAGTGAAAATGACATCAGCCAGGGCTGTATAATTGCTTTAAAAAATGAACTTTTCGGTCAGCAGGTAAAAAATGGGATGTCTTCTCAAAAGTTATAGTAGTACCCAACCGCTCAAACAATCTAACTGAGGTATAGTAGTAGTTCAAGTGCTATTGCAAAACGATGTAAAGAGAGAAAACCGTTTTCTTTGAAAACAGTACAAACAAGAGAAAACACCATTTACACCGAAAGCAAAGATTTTAGGCCACATACTGGAACATGTATTATGGAATGTTCTCACCTGCAAAGCATAGTTCCTTGGGGAAGTAAACTGCTAGAAAAACTTATATAGGGAATCGGCTGCAGAGTTTGCCTCAGCGTGGCTGAAATTGCATATAAAATACACCACCCACTTGTTACGAGAAAGAAAAAGGCATACGAAAGTGAAAGTTCGTACTGCAAATGTAGATCAAGGGCCATTACTTGCGCGCCTTTTTCAAAATGGTCGGATGACCTCGGCGGGTTTTCGAGGAATAATCGTTGTATTATGAGTTTTGAATGACAAACGTGGCAGGAGATGTGGGAAAGGTGGATGAAAGGGTTGGAAGGGAAGAGACAGGGAAATGAACTAGGTCGAAGGGGGGTGGGAGTTGTAGGTATATGAACAAACCACGCTTGACTTTGCTCATCTTGCTGTGGCATGCTTGGGTATGTAATGGGAGTTTCTGTGAGGGAGCTGAGGTCTAGTTGAGGCTTAAAACATATAGTCAAACAAGAAAATATCGCAATTGTCTTCTCTGTTTAGGTTATGTCGCGGCGAAGAAAGAAGTGTGGCAAAGGGTCATTCATGCGGAAGCTTGGGATAAGGTGAGAATTTCGCAAAAATGAGTTTGGTCATTTCCATTTAGATATCTGCCGCGGAGAAGAAAGAAGTGTGGAAAGGGTCATTCATGCGGAAGCCCAAGGATGAGGCGAGAATCTATATTGATATTACTCTTTGCAGCTGTGACCGGATGTTTGAAGTATAGACGGACAACTTGCTACTATTATGTAGTGCTTTTATCAAGTACCTGCTATTAACCCGATAGCTGACACAGAATAGTCATACAGCAACTCCACATTACAGCTTAACAATACTGCTACTTCGGCATCTGCTGAACTCAGAAATCCACGCGGAAGAGCGTGCGATAGCTTTGGGACCAAAGATCGAAAATTTGAACTTGCCCCTTCGCCACTCGTCCCTTTCAATCCTAAGAGGGCCTATTTCTCTTCCTCAAAATTCCGATAAGGAAGTTGCTATGCATGTTCAGCACATCGAAATGGTCCGAAAAATGTAAGAATCCGTTGAAAATTCGTCTTTACTCTGCCTTCGAGTCATTTTTCAATTAACCCCATGGGCGATATTCGAGGAGACACCTTAGAGATGATGTTATATGCGCTAATAAAAGAGTAGACAGTTTGAGAATTGACAATTTGCGCAGGAAGTTGTATGACAATGAGATGTTTGCCAAATAAGCAGCACTAAGCAAAGGACTTATTTTGTAAAAAGCTTACTACGAAAAAATCCAGCTTAACTTAGATACTTAGAGACTTAGATGGCCTGTCTTCACTTGTCCTGCAGGCCACACCACTTTTCCATCCGTTCCTATCCACGATGTTGGTATTGAAGTGCGGCGGCGACGTCGCGAGGTCCAGGTCCATTACTCGTTACCAGCTGAGAATTCAGCAGGTCCATCCGTGCAACGAACACGTCAGCCCATCTGGTCGGTGGCCTCCCTCGAGGACGTTTTGCTTCGCG